AGGTGTTGTGGGTTAACTTGTCCCTGGTTTTTGCCTGCAGGTTCTGGAGTACCAGTCGGACCTGAAGCAGTACTGGAAACGCTCCCACGGTCATGTGATCAGCAGTCTGTCCAGCTGTCCTCTGTTCCATCACATCTTCAGGACGCTCGATAAAGCCGGACGTCCTCGCAGGTCAGTGACGTTCGTTCCTATCATCCATCAGCGCTGACTGATCATCGATCGGCTGACTGATCGATTGGTTGATCGTGTTCCTGTCAGGTCCACGGATGCGTCTCCAGAGCCGGCCTCCATCTTGGTGGGGCACGCTGAGACGCTCCTCCCCCTCCTCTCCCTGCTGGGACTCTACAAGGACGAGACTCCGCCCACAGCCAGCAACTACCAATCACAGCACGGTATGCAAACCCTGCTCCCACCCCACATCCAATCAGAGGCCATAAAATATAGAAATTATTATTATAATTTTTAGAAATAGAATGTGATAAAAACATTCACATCAGAAAGAGCAGCTATAAAATCCCTGAAAACAAAATATTTCAACGATCTTTGAGAAACAGCTCAGAGACGCTAATGAAACACCGACAGATGTTTGACAGAACGTTCAGAAAACCCTCAAAAAATAGTAAGAAAAGAGATGAATTATTATTATTAAGAGAAAAACATTAACATCTTTGGAAAAAAAAGAACAAAATCCTGCAGAAATCTCTGGAGGAGACGTAGCTCCTGAAGGTTATTAACAAAGCAGCCAATAATATGTGAAAGTTGTTCAGAAAACGTATGAACAGGATATGAATAAATACATCCTGTGAAGGCAGCAGATGGCAGACAGTCCTTCAGACACCATGTCAGAGCTCAGAGCTCTCAGTCTGTCGTCGTTGCCTTCGGTCTGAACTCGCCCTTCTCGTCTCACAGGTCGGACTTTCCGGACGAGTCGGATCGTCCCGTACGCCGCCAACCTGCTGTTCGTGCTGTTCGACTGCCAGCGAGGCCCGCGGCTGCAGCTGCTCGTCAACGAGTCGCCGGTTCGATTCCCGGGGCTGCAGGCGGAGGACGCGCCGCTGTACCGTGACGTCCGCGCCGCCTACCGCCACCTGCTGGACGGCTGCGACTTCCACAGGGAGTGTGAGGGGAGAAGCGGGGGCCGCGGCCCCAACACCGAGCTCTGAGGGCCCCGGCCTCCGGACCGCCGCAGCCTTAATGCACCTGTCGGACCAAGCCCCGCCCCCTCACAGCCACTGTCCAATCACAGGCTGACGCAGCTGTTGTTTAACCCTCTGAACCCTGGTCCTTCACTGAGGTTCATGTTTCAACATAAAGTCCTGCAGCTCTGAGGAACCAGAACATAAAGGAGGAGAGAGAACCCAGAGACGTCTTCTGTCAGCAGGACTCAGAACCACGGAGACCAGAGAGAAGAGACGTTTCTCTGGTTATGTCTTTAACAGAAACATAAACACCTGAAATCGTCACGTCCGACGTGTTTCCAGATGTTAAACCCTGGAGCACCTCGTGTCTCCTCGTCCTGACTGCTGAGTCAGTGGAGGAGGATCAGCTGTGATGAGAAGCTTGTTTACAGAATCTGCTTCAACGGTTGGTTTTTACGATTTCCCTCCATAAAGACAAAACTCTGATCATTCTTTGTTTTCACAGTTTTGCGCTGATAAGCGACGGTTTTGGCGTTCAGAGGGTTAAATGCTTCCAGCTGCTCCTGATCTTCTTCCTGTAGTTTAAATCTGGAGCCTCGTCCACACTTTTCAAAGTGACTTTTTGTCTTCTGTAATTTATAACTCAAACCTTCACTCCGATTAAAGCAGCAGAAGATTCACTGCTGAGGGAAACTGAAGCAGCTCCTGACCTCTGCTCTGGTTCCTGAAGCACACAGAGGACTTGGACCTCGGTCTCCTGCTGGATGGACTGTGCATGTGTCCGTCAGGCATCGGTACTTTGGTTCCTCTAAACCAGGTGGAACAGACGCTATGGATTAAACACAGCGAGCGCTCGCAGGTTGTTGGGATGTTTTCTTCACAGGGTTCCTTCTGAAGCAGCTTTAATTTATTCACCTTTCATCATCGTGGGTTTGATTTGTGGGTTTTTGCAGATTATTCTCTGAGATGTTTCATCTTTGTGTAGTTTTAGATGTCTTTGTGCCAAAATCGGGATTTTTGCGGGTTTCTTTTATCAAACTGGTTTTACTGGTGGACGGCAAACGTCTCCAAAAGAAAAAGCTTTAATAAAAGTTTTTCACAGCCTTCAGTGTCTTTGATGGCCTCGACTGGAGCCTTCAGCGGACGGATCTCTGGTCACTTCACTGTCCAGACATGAAGTTAAAGCTCATGTTGCACAATCTGCTCATTCAGGTTTTATTTTACTGAACATTCAAGTCACAAACAACAACGACATCATCAGTCACATGTTTCGAGCAGTTTATTACATCATCACTTCACAGCCAATAAAAACCCTCCTGTGTTTAAACTATGCAGGATTCTGGAGGTTCTGATCTTACAGTGCGAACGTTTGCAGGTTTTCTCCTCCATCAGCAGAAACAAGGCATCGACTCGTCTGACAAACTAAACTCTAAAGACGTGAGGTTCTGTCCCACAGAACCAGGAAGTTCGTCCACTGCAGGAGATCCAAATGAAAAGTACACTTGATGAGAATCACACGGTGAGCGTCTGTCACAGTTACGTCTTTATCTTACACAGTAAACACTTTAAAACAGGAGAACCAGGCGGCGGGTTCTGACCAGAACCAGGATGCGACCCAGTTTAAAGGAGAATGAAGCAAAAACTCTGAACCGGAAATAACAAACACAGGTTCCAATAAATAATCCATGACGGAAGTTTAAATGAAAGCTGATGATTCATGGAAGCTTCAGCTCCACATAATTTAACCAAACACCAAGAATCACACGTTAATCAAACGTCCTTAACGAGGATGTTTCCATTAAACCAAAGTAAACCAGATTTTATTTGAGTCAATTACAAACCTGTCCCAGAGCTATTGTTTCTGATAACTCCCCGTATTGATTATTGACCTGGAGGCTGCAGGTTCACACCAGGCTGACGGCGCCGCTGTGGATGTTTACAGACGTTCCTCGGACGTGAATTAAAGGTTCTGCTGAAACCCTTTCTGGTCTCAGCTTTAATCCACGTCAGAGGAGCGTGTTGGTGGAGGTCCGGTTTAAACGCGATTCTCAGCTTCTGTTTGAGATGCACAAAGACAAGAGGACGAGGCCGGCGGTTCTGACGGCGGTTCTGACGGCGCTGGAGGACGGACCCTCCTGTGGCTTTATTTACAGTGAAACCTGCAGCCCACGTTCCTGCACTTCTGGATTCTTCCACGCTGGCGTTAGTGGAAGCGGAGCGCCAACGACGGGTCAGCTGGTGAAACAAAAACACAAAGCAGTGGCACATGGAGACCAGCTGTGGGTCGGGAATCGAACCCGCGGCTCGGCGTGCGATCAGTGCGCTCAGTCCAGAGCGGCGTGCAGCAGGGCGCCGTGTCCGCCCGCCGACTTGGACTTCTTCATCTTGCTGATGGCCTTCTGCAGGTCGGACTGATGGATGGGACGAATGAAGTCCTCTGAAGCACTGAGAGATCAATAACACCGATTAGATCTGATCAAAGGGTCACAGCTGATCAATACCTATCAATAGTCACCAGGTTAGAACCACATTAATGCTCATGTGTCAGTTTGGTCGTCTCTCAGATTCTCTTTGATCGTGTTCAGTCCTGAAAGCTGGAAGTTAAACATGCTGCAGGTTTGAACAACAGATCAAATATGACGGAATTAAAACTGATTTATCCTCAGAGTGGATCCTGTCTACGGATGGTTCTGGTAGGTTCTGGAGGTAAACCGGTCCTTCCATGGTCTAGAACTGGTTCTGACCAACCACCATCACACATGCTGACACGAGCCTGGAAAGTTTACCCAGAATGCACTTTGTAAAGTTTCCTCTGGTGACTGATCAGAACCAGAACCACATCCACGGTACCAGTGATTGTTTCTATGACTCTNGCTTATTTCATGTTTCCACATCAGAAGATCAAATGGGAAACTACTTTGGAGCTGATGCTCATGTTAGCTTGTGGAGTGAAAGAAGCTAAAGCTAGCTTCTGTCACATATCAAATCTACAGACTGTATATGTTTATATACAGTCTGTGATTAAATCTGTTTATTTTTAATGAACCTTTAACTTGAGCTCAGTTGATCAAAGTGCTGCATGCACATATAATAAGACAACAGCAGAAACAGCTGCTCAGAGCTGCCTACCTGTTAGCCACCTAGCTCGCTAGCCAACACTGGCTAATGTGTTAGCATAATGTACTGAAATACTGCGCGGTGTGACGCTAAAGGGACAAACTGTGTGCTGTTCAATGGGATTGTTGCTCCCAGAGAATCTTCCTGGTTTGACTGCTCATTGTTATTCATTTCAACAATGTCTGAAGTCTGACGTTAGCAGCTCTGGGCTGCTCCGCTTCAGCAGTTAGCTCGCATTGAAACGTAGCCTGCAGCCGCCATTTTGTGAAGGCCAGAAGTTGTCGGTCCAGAAGTTGTGAACACGACAGAGTCAAGTAGACCTGAATAGGACCAGCGTGAATGTTTTAATACAGACACTGACCACGTCTGTCCTGATGCAACATGTTTGGTTCCATGAAGCTGCACAGCGACGCCGTTCTGACCAGTGAAACACACACAAGAGGAAAAGTTAAACATCAGAAATTAAACTTCCTCACAGGTTCTGTCCTCAGAGCCGTCCTCTGTCCAACGGCAGCAGCAACACAGGGACAGCGTAAAGATGGCCGACACGTCTGAACAAACATGGAGCCACGACATCCACCTGGAGGCTCCTCCACCTGCCCACCATAACATGGAGGCTCCTCCACCTGCCCACCATAACATGGAGGCTCCTCCACCTGCCCACCACAACCTGGAGGCTCCTCCACCTGCCCACCACAACGTGGAG